AGGGTTCGTGAATGATATAAGGAAGTCATAGGTGTTTTTTAACACTAACTTCACTAGAAATGTCGAACTGGCCCACGAATCGTGGGCGAATCTTTTGTTCATTGTATATAGAAAATATTTTAACTTTTTCGCACTACAGGTCGATCATGAAGCTGACACTGATATTTCCCTTCCTGTACCGATCACTGATACTGAATGCAAAGAAGGTAGATCTAAACGAGAGAGCCTTTACGTGCCAGACGAAGATTCGCAAGAAAGCGAAGATGACATAAACTATGTGCAAAGTGAATCCCTGAAACAGCTCAATCGCTTTCTACAGCTTCGTGACACCAGCCCAGTCCGCCACGTACTATCAGTACCATGGAATGTAGCTCAAAGCCGTACTAAACGCCGTTATTTGAGAAAAGCTGAACAGTGTGCTTCAGCAGTAATGGAAGTCCTTGCTCCTGAAGATTCGAATTGCTTGTGGAGGGAATTATGTGAGCGCGAAGTGAATCGAAGAACAACTGGCGGGAAAAGTTGTAAGGAAGTGGAGCTTCTTCAAGCGTTTGCCGAGAGTTATTTGAACGCTCAACACTGGAGTACCCGTCGGCAAATACTCTCAATCCTGGCTGACAAGTTGTCTTTCAAAGAGGTACAAGAATTTATCCCAACCCTGACAAGTTACCGCTTTGACATAGCGCGACACCACACCCTGCTTCATGGAAGAGCAGAACCGATTCCTCGCCAAGAAAACAGGAGAATGAAAGTTGACCAAGGAAAATTGGAAGATTTCATTTCATTTATCACAAGTTCACATGTGATTCAAGATGTTCCATTTGGCGAAAGGCTTTTGAAGTTATCAACCGGTGAGGTTATTAAAACACCAAATATAATCAGAATGATGATTCCGGAGCGTATTGTTCAACAGTACCAACAATATTGCAGTGAAAGAGGTTTTGAGCCCATGAGCAGGCGAACACTGCATAGAGTGCTAGATGAGTGTTCTGCGTCTGTTAGGAAGTCTTTTCAAGGACTTGATAACTTTTCATCTCAAGGAGCAGAGGCATTTGATGACCTGGACAAAGTGGTCGATAAACTGGTTGATTGTGGAAAAACAAAAGTGTGGGCCAGGGAAATGAAGCAACAGTTACGCTCATCAAAGCAATACCTGAAAAGTGACTACAAGGTATTTGATTTATTTCATTACACGGTTTGTTATGAAGTACTTCAAAAGAAAGGCGCAAAACTGACAGAAAGTTGATGCAACAACACAGGCAAATTATTTTCCTAAAGTTCAAATCTTTGAAAATGCATAATATTGATACTTGAACTAGTTCCAGGTCCTCTCGTGTGTAACTAAGGAAGGAATTATTGTCGATAACCTGTGAGTTATATTTATACATTTTGCAAACAAAGGGGGACCGACGGCCTTTTCAATGTAACTGTTTTATAGAAATAAGAGAAGGTGAGACACAGAGATGTAAATAAAAAATCTGCAAGTGATCCAAACGCAGCCAGTGATGCCAATAGCCGAGAACAAGAAGATGATGATGGTGAAAACGAGCAAGCCTCGCCGCTTTTCCCTTGCCCCGAGGAAGGGTGCATTAAAGCATACAGCCACTTTGTATCATTACAAGCACATCTAGACACGGGGAAACACAAGCGACTACCTGAAAAGGAAACGCTGTATGACAAAGCAAAACGAGGATATGCTTCAAAGCTAATGGATGACGGTAGCAGGATTTCCACTGTGCAGTTACAATGTGAAGAACAAAACAGCCAATGCTTTTCGCCCCTTACAATGGGATGGGCACTTAAGACAATCGCAAAGAAGACACGTTTTACGCAAAAACAGAATGAATTTTTGAAACAACAATTTGAAATTGGCGAGCAGAGTGGAAGGAAAGCAGATCCGAATGAAGTCTCAAAAATGATGAGATCTTCAAGGGACGAGTTAGGAGCTCGTCGATTTCTACCAGAAGAAGTTCTAACAGGACAGCAAATCACTGGATTCTTCTCACGACTGGCAGCAAAGAAAAGGCTTCCTCCCAGTACAGTGAACCGGGAAAAGTCGGACGAAGAGACCACTAGAGAAGATGATAGAGCATCACAAGAACAGGTAATCCAATCTGAAATCTGCGTGCAAGTGATGAGAGAGGTTTCCCTTCAGCACCCCATTGTATCGTCTTCGGGTTACAACATCTGTGAACTCATGCGCATGGGCAAGAAAAAGCTGATGTCACTGAGTGTGGACATGCTGCGCAGTATTTGCGATGAACTTGGTGTGGACGTCTCTAATATAACACAAAGACGAAAGAATCCGTTTATTAGTCGTCTTTCAAAGCTTGTAGGCGAGTGCGGCTGTACCTCATAAGCAGATTAATAAACTGTTTTCTGTTGACTAATTATGCCTTGCGCATAATTGTATACAAGATAACATCATTTATTTTCTTTCGAAAAAATCGTTTCATTTGATCGTTATCTTTTTTTAAAAGTGTGTTCAGTGAAGAGGTAGATACACTAATGGTATGGCGACCACCTCAAGGCTGCCACCGAATTAAACCAGCCAACCAGTCCGTAATGTAAGCTAATTACAGTTGTATATCCATTCAAAGTTTTAGGGCTAAAAAGTTTGAAATTGTCTCCGCAAGAAGCCAAGAAAAATTCAAAGTAACAAAGCTTGACGTACAAGATTGATCAAAGATCTACTTAAATATAGTTTTGTGGGGAAATGGCCATATTGGAGTGATGCAACGACCTTAATTGTGCTATTAAACGTAAACATATAAATGTTGATGTGACGTTTCCACCAGTATACTGTGCAAACTGTGCACTTTGTGGGTGGTTGGGGAGAGAGAGTAGTATGGTTGTTAAATCCTTTCCCCCACCCCCTTCCCTCCTTTTTAAATGTCGTAAAAATGACAGTGCACATTATTTATTCTTCGGTGCCCTCTTTGGAAAATTCTTAGTATTTTTCATCGAATATTGTCAAAATTAAACTTTATTTTCTCTATCAATGACAGACTGTAGTGTTGTTTGACAAGCGCAATCAATAAAACATGCAAGTCGTAAAACTCATAGTGTTTTTAATAGTCGCATTGGACAACAGAATGAAGAGGATACAAAACTCATTGGAGACAGTTCCTGCTTGGTAGTACATTTTTTAGTTGTTATTTACCTGAGCCCATAGGGACGAGCTATTTTGAAAGGTCAAATATCTTCATGGATTGGAAAAAATATATTCCTATTCCAGTGCGGCTACTTTTCACAGCTCTTGCTGAGTGAACCGAAACAACTTCCTGTATGGTGCAAAAATTAATACTTTTGAACATGATGTATTACTTAGTAAGTGACACAGGCATAATCGGAAAAAAAATTCGAGTGCTTCATGGGACAAACATCCTGCATACTGCTAGGATTGGAATGTCATGTGTGGCATACGCGCAATGGAATAAATGTGATGGAATATTTTTAAGCCTGGTGAATAAATGAGAATGATGTATTATTCAGTAAGTGACACAGGCGTACTCGGAAAAAAGAAATCTGAGTGCTCTTGGCCATCAGGAGTCGAAACTATCGACATCGTGTCAGGTTATGCCCAAGTGACACGATGAGACAGTACGGGTAGTCATCTCCAATAAACTCGTTGGCTTTTAAAAACACGCAATCTCGCTAAAATCAATTCTGGTTCAAGTCCGGAGAGTTTTTTAGGACTTCGTGCGATGTTTTATATCCTTGTTACACAGCGTGAGCAGTGTGACGAAAGCTGAGTAAGGGTAGAAATTAGCCATTGGAAGTTACTTAGCAAGTGCGTTCGTCTGCGCCGCAAATCCCACCGACAATATTCAAGAACGAGCAAGACGTCGTTGTTATGTATGTCTATTAACTTCGCCAACAACATACTCTGGTTATATGGTTAAGTAGATTTGTTTATTTAGAGAACGATGCAATATTTGCTTTTCGTGGAAACAGTTACTTCCGATTGGTTTTCGACGGCACAAAACTTCTCATACTAAATAAAATCAATTCTAATTGAGCTAGAATTACTATCAAGGTTTTCTTTTTTTTTTCAGCAAGTTAACTGGGAAACCTGGCATATCTTTGAGTAAGATATTTTAAAAATACGACTTATTTAAAATCAACGGATGTAAATATCTGTTTGTTACTGTACTAATTGTCGCTAAGTCGCTCGTGCGTGACGCAGATTAGGGAGCGAGCCTGTGAGATTTAATTTCAGCTCGTGGTAATTTTGGTGTTTCATTGTTTGTTTTACCTGTGTAGACAATATTTAACATTAATATATATTTTTAAAACGCTTCAAACCGCTAAAAAAGCAAAACCCTTATGTTTTATGTACAAACTTTGGCCGAGGAGTTAATTTATTCAATAGTGCTTTGTTATGTAGAGTTGTAGATTTCAAAGGCGCTCAATTGGAATTTTATCGAATTTTGATCGGCGTTCATGCAAAAGTGCTACTAGATCCTAAAGATTTAAAACCGTAGACCTAAAAATCAATGACTGAACTGTCTTTGGTTATAATATCAGAGGATTTGAAGAACTACCGGTCAGCTTTTTTCGTCGCTGAGTTTGGATTATTTTACACCTTCGCGTAAATGAGAAAAGTGTGTCTTCTTAATCGGGTCTCAGTTCGCTCACAAATAAGCAGAGATAAAAATAATTCCCATGATTTGACTAAGGAAGAATCAATGTATTCAAATATACTTAAGAAAGATTCACAGCTATGTAAACGTCTGTGTAGCGAGAAGCTGAAAAGTGTAAAATTTCGAGTTTCCGTTAGGTGAAATCCGAGCTTCCGGTAGGGTGACCGTTTTTCGTGGTTTTCTGCCGTTATATGGAATATTTCAAAAAACTAACCTCATATCCTTCAGTCACTTAACTAGGCCTTCAAACTGACAAAGTATGAGCGAAATCGATTTTTTGACCGTGGCCACTTTTTTTTAATTTTCCTTGATTTTTACTGACATTTACTCTTAATCATTTCCAACTCGTTGACTTACCCACTATGCTGTTGCTGTGAGTGGCCTGGCTAATTTCTTGTCCGAACTTTGCTTGGTATGAGGCGTACAAGAGAAACGTGGTCAAACCAAGGATAAAAATCGAAACAATTCTACCTTTACCTCTCGTTGTAAAGATCATTTTGGTTCTGTTTAAAGTTATCCCGTCATGAACGTTCAAACCTGCGGAAAATAAAAATACTTACTCCTGTGGTAGAAAATATAAGTTCATCGCAAAGAGGATGTAATCTAATAAAAATCGCGATTTTGAGACGCCATTATTGCATTGTATCGGTGGTTAGTCGAGGGGAAATATATTGTAGTGTTGGGAAGAGTCGTGTAGCGACGAAGCTCAATGGGACAATGGCAGTTTTTATGCTAGAGACGTTAAAGTTGTCTAAGACGTTAAAGTCATCTTGAGACGACTTTAACTTCTTAGACAACTTTAACGTCTCTAGCATAAAAATTGCCAATATCTTTTCTCCCAACTAGCCAGCCGCCAATATAATGCGGTATCGGCGTCTCAAAATAGCGACTGGTTTTACATCGCAATCCACATCCGAAGTGACCACATCGGGAGACAAACGGTTATGTTTCTCTTTTGACAACTGAGTTGACGTGAATTTGCCACCGTAAAGAGTTTAAAAGCTGACGTTTGGAGCGTTAGCCCTTCGTCAGAGCGATTGACGAAGGGCTATGTCGACTAGCTCCCTTACGTCTTTCTTACATTCGGCGCTAAGATAATTCTCAGTTTTCGTTAAAATAATATAATTGTTTCCTATGATTCATCTCACGTTTTGAGCGCACTCGGCTTCGCGTAACTTGTAATTATAGATCTTAAAAATCCTATCTTAGGACCTGTTTACATGGAGGTGGGGGACCCCAGGTAGGTGAGGTAACCCGCCTAGCCGTGGTCGAAAAATAAAACACGTTTACATGCAACCTTACAACCCCGGGGTGCTGGGGTGTTGTTGCGCTTGCAATTAAGGAGTTTGGGCAGAGGCGTCCCAAGCTCACATCTCGAAAAAGACGAATGATTAATTCTCGGACACATATGTATTTATTCATGAAAGCGTCACGCGTTGTGTTACGCGGTGCTTGATTTCGCGAGGAACCGTTGACTTAATACGTTATACGGAATAGTGTGGGAAACCAAATATGGTCGATTTACAACGCTAAATATTCCGAACATTTTACACTCCTTGTGTTTCCGTTGCGGTTTCTGGTGATTTCTGCCATGAGACGGCTGGACACCGGACACAATGTGTTTCCAAGGTGCAAAGCGTTGTCGACGTTGTCGACGTTGTCGTTTAGTGTGTCCATTGGCTAGTGGATGATAGTTACAGCATGCCCGAAGGGCAAGCTGTGAAACCGACTTTCTTTGCACCCTGGAGACACATTTTTAAGAAAGAAACGGCGCTGAAACCGTGAAACCAAAGCTCTCAATGGGCACACTAAACGACAACGATATCTCCCCTGTCAGCTGCTAAGAAATACTTCGGCTGGAAATTTTTTTTGGCGGCAAATTAGAGAATGAAGCGTAGCTGACAGGGGAGATATTCATATTATTATAGGGGGTAAAAATTTGATCGCTTTCATCAGTTTGCTTTTTATTCAAAAGAAGTGCATTCAGAAGATCATTTTTCTGAAGAAGGTTTGTTTGGGAGTCGGTTTTCCAAGTCAAGTTTCAAGTTCACTGGAAAGTGGAAAGTGTAAGGGCCGAGTCATGCATCAGTGAATAAATTATGCAAACGTGGGGTTCCTCTTGTTACAACCAACGAAAGGTTTTCGGTTTCAAAAGAACAAAAATGTTCGCTTCAATTCTGGAAACTTTCCACCTGAAAGATTTTTGTGAAAAGTGAAACAATACGATGTGGTCTATATATATTTTTTTTATCAACAAACTCTTACGAAATCGGTGTTTAGAATTTACCATATTGAAGCGCACGTGATATTCAGGATCAAAATCTTTTGCTTACGTTCCTCACAAATGATTATGAAGCAAAATTTAGACAAATAGCTTTCTTTGAATTAGTAAGAGTTAGTCACGAGGAACATTTACTTCCAAATTTTTTTTCAATATCTGCTTTTACTTATGCACGGGATCTCAATATGTCTCGTCTGACATGCAATGTGATACTTCGTCTTGTTTATGCAGATTTCACTTCTTCGGAGCGACTTTCGGTCCGCATGAATTTATTAGGAATTTAAAACATTTGTCATACAGTACTCCTGTGATTTTAATTCTCTGAAAACTCTTCACTTGCCCTTTGGGCAAGTTAAACACAGAATTCACTAGCCCGATCGCCAAATCCACTAGCCCCGGGCTATCGGACACGACTTTCTTTGCACGCTGTTTATTCACAGTTTTGAGTTCGTTTTCATCCAGCAATATGTGTGGAACGAACTGAGTTTTTTGCATTGAGCTGACTATTGAGTACAACGATCTGACTTGAAACGATCTCACCACGGAACAGAATGACCGTGAACCTCGAGCAGCGGCCATTTAATTTTTTACTATCCGATGGATACAAATTTATACTACCTACCTAACCATGATGATGTTATCTGCTGGATTGAGAGTGGATAGTGCTATTCATACATTGAACAACCGATATGACGCCATGGTTTAAATTCATACACTGGATAGCGATTTATCCAACGGATAGCAGTTATCCATCCTTTGAACAACCGCGGCCAGATCCTAAGAGTGCGACTCAAGCTGACACGACCCTCAAAAAACGATTTCAACAGGTTCTAAGTTTTTGAACATCGAGTTCAGAGCTTTCTCAACGAGCTGAATCTCTTTTCAGTCTCCATACAGCTTTGTGAGAAACAGTTAAGGTTTGAGATAAAGCCTACAAGTATAAACCACATTGTATCTATGAGCATCAGATTCTAAGAATGCTTTTGCAATTCAAGATTGCGCAGAACTCGAAAAAATGATTTTAACAGCTTCTAGATTGTTAAACAATGAATGAAAAGCATTCTTTGAGCCATTTCGATTCCTTCTCAGTCTTCCATACGGCTTTGTGAGAAACACTTAAGGTATGAGGTAAGGTTTAAAACTATGAACCAGTCAAACTTACTCAATGTAGTTACCTAACACAGTTCAGAGCGCTTGTTTCTTTATACCTCCACTTAACGATAAAGCCTTTCAACAATACAGCCTTAAGGTACAACGTGGCACGAATACTACACACATAAAACGATTATTGGATGAGGTTGAGCACAATCATGCATTATCAATGCCGAGGTCTCTCACGGCTTTTGTCTATTGACTGTATGCTCTCGACCAATCAGAGATCTTATATGTATGCATGAATTGCATGTCCGTGATGGGAAACAAAGAAGACTCCATTTGGCGCTCATCTTTGAATGTACTTTTCATCAGTTGATCGCTTTTCTCAACTGTTTTGCTTTATATAACATTTCTAAAGATAGCTTTTATTGTGGTTCAATGGGAAAACGAGAATAGCGTGAGTGTTGTAAAAGAAAAGAAAGTCGTTGGCGCCGTGGAGTTAAAAGAAGGGACAACAGTTGACATATTGACTGGTACAAACAAGGATCGAGTGGCCATCTGTAAAGCTACGATTTTGAAAGTTTGTGGTGAGTAAAAATTGCGATATTCGTTACGTGATTAAAATCTTATAAAA